GAAGCCGTGTAATAATACCCACTATTATCATATGGCTGTATTTATTCTGGTTGAGTTTATGGCTTTCTTTTTTGCCGTCCACTAATTATCTCCATTGTCTTTTTGATGGAGGTCCAAACTATTTTGAGGTGCTATGAAGTTTGTTTGAACATGCAAGGCGCTAGCATTTCGCACGTGTCGTGTTTGCAGCAATATATCTTCGTTATTTTCGTCCTTTTTTCCGTTGAAATTGGGAAACATAAATTTTGACTTTTGAATATGCAACGAATTTTCTGATGCCTCTGGAGCAAAATTGATATATAAGTACTCCCAATACACTTGTGTGGCCAGGAAACAATTTCAAACTACCTCATGGCCAACGAAGTAAATGTCAAGGGCCTCATCGGATTTAACACCTTCATCCAGCATCACATTCAATTTAGTTTAGTATTCAAATTCAGTGAATCAAAAGATTTCAATGAACTTCTATCTAATAGATTTATTTATGATGATTTAAAAAGTGGTTTTATGTACAGACGCCAAAATTTCAAACAAAATGTGGCATTATAATGCAATGTCAAAAGAACATTACGAATCAATTTCCCTTTACACAAACCTGAGTTATTGCAAGCGAATTATCCCACGCGTACGCACATAAAATATCATACTGAAAATCAAGAGGTTTCTCAGAAAACAAAGTCAATTCAAGCATTGGAGCTTACGAGAAAATCAATTGATATCTAAACAAACTTAGTTCCCAGGATGGAATTGAAACTGGGTGTATTATTACAAAAAAAAGCTCAAAAGGCAACGTCATGATAATCAAATATCGCCTCAAGATCTTAGTTCACCAACCATTGGGTGAACCAGCAGAAGATCTAGGAACTAGCCCTCCAATGCTGAAGCTCCAGATATAATTTCAATCAACTCGGTGGTGATAGATGCTTGCCGAGTTCTATCACAAATCAACAAATGAAGTTCAGTTTTACAGAAAATAAACAAATAAATAACATGGAAATGAGTAAGTTTCTATAATTGATTCAAGTGAGATGAGAAAAAAAAAAGATAGTCGGATAAGTTGAGAGTTATAAGAGACCTGTTATAAGTTAATGTGAGGCGATCAAGCATGTCCCCAGCATTTCTGCTTGAGCTGTCCATTGCAGACATCCTTGCACCTTGTTCACTGCAAGCATTTTCCAATACGGCGTTGAACAGTACCTGTTGAGTATGTATATAGTTTTCAGTAGTTACATAAATAAGAGATACAAAATAAAGAAGAAAATCGAGTAATCAACATTATTGTATAGAACTTTTCTTTTTATGAAAAGAACTCGTTTTTCTATAATGTATCTAGTTCTTCTCTTCTTTGAATTGATTCTCATGTAATTTTGCAGCATCCTAGACCAACAATCATATGGGCGAGAACCATATACCAAAATTACTTCATCACTTATTCATCCTCAAGAAACTACTATTAAGCCATGGTGATCTGATTAATGTCAGCATGCATCTATAAGGAAATGTTTTGCCTAAGCATTGGCTCACCTAAAATTATCAAAAACCAGTAAATTGCAATGATAATTTCAATACAGAGAGACCTAAGAAAAACGGAGGAATGAAAAAGCCAACTGACTCATATCTTCAAAATCACATAGTGTTTCTGTGTATTAATTAAGCCTGAATTTGAACCGCATGAAACTTCCTACGGATTAAAAACATCAAATCTCTAACCTGCAGATTCGATTTTGCAAATAACCATGATGATTTCAACAATAAAAACCAATGTCTCGTTACAAAAATATAAGAGGCTGTAAGGGTGAGCTTACACAAGAAAACTGGAACTCTGCTAGATTTTGGAGAACCTCAGACTTTGTCTCACCCCCTTCAACCTCATATAAATCCAGGTCACCAAGCCTTCCCCCAGATTCTGCCTCCCTTTCAACAATCTGAAATGCAGAACGCAGAGTATTCACAAAGGCAGCAAGGGCAAGAAATTTAAGAAGGGGAGAAGAAAAGGTCAGTATGTAAAAAACTCCAGTATTCTTATTACCTCAGGGGACAGCACGGTAGATACTGTAGGCAGAAATGAGACAACTGACTGGAACTTGTTGAAAACAATCCTCAGAGCATCATATTCTACGTTCTTTAGAATATCATCAGCTAAAACAGAGACCTAAAAGTGCAAAAAGGACAGTAAGAAATGGGCATTTCAAAATGTCAAGGAAGGTATCACATCACACAAAAGTTTGAAGATTTTACCAAGCCAGTAAAAACAAGAAGTGCACTTTTGGAAACAAAAAAGAAATTCACTCAAAACTTTGGAAACATCATTTGCTGCCACAATGGATCATACTTATGGCCTTATCTATTGTTACTTATCCTACACCAATATGAAGACTTCAAATCTACGGTAGAAGCCCCTACATACGGAAGCATAGACAAATAGACAGAAACATATACTCATGAACGAACAATGAAGATATTATTTGTGATGAACTATGTGGTATGGTTAACTAACTTGAGTATAATTTAAAGGATTCTTCTGCAGCTCAGTGATGATGACTTCTATGTCGTTCTTGGAGTCACGTACTAACTGAGCCTTTGCCTTCTCTCCCAATATAGCATATTTTGTTTCCTGTTCAGGACCTATGAGCAGAGTAATTACAAAATTAGTATCTTATTTACTGTAGTCTCACACTGAAAAGAAGAATAGGATAAAATTTTTTTTTTGCAAGTAATACCAGAATTTATCTTGCGCAGAGCCTTGCTTATCTTGACAGAGGTAGAATTAATTCCACCACAAAGACCTTTGTCTGAAGAAATGGTAACAATGACATTCTTCTTTACATCAACACCTATGTTTCCAACAATAAATAAACCATGAGTATGATGTGTACTTTGACATAATACACATGGCAAACACAAAATAAGTAAAAAGAAGCAATTCATGTGTCAATATAAAGTAGGAAACATATGATATATACATACTTGGAATATCCCCAAGAAGTGCAGTAAAGGGTTGCCAAAGGCCACGAGAATTTTCAGCACGCACTTGAATTGCCCGAAGCTTTGAGGCTGCAACCATCTTCATTGCCTTTGTAATTTTCTGAATATTTTTCACACTCTTCATTCGATTTCTAACTGTATTCACATGTTAAAAAAATGATAGTAAATCATCAGTAAGTAAGAATAATAAAACAACAGAATAATTGTCAAAAAAATGCCAGTTGATTAACAGGAAGCAACGTATTTTTTTTATTTAAAAAAAAAAAAAAAAAAAAAACACCATAAAATAATATATATAAAAAGAAATAGCAGATCCAGTGTAAATAGCACCTACCCACTTGAGTGGAGATAGAGCGCACACCAAGAGGAGCTTGTTCCCTTCACACAAAAAACACATATTCAGGATTAGTGATTTATGTGCAGAAAGAGCTTCGGCAGATATTCATAATTAATGATAAGCTAACCAGAAAACCCAGAGTAGTATGGCTCTCTAAAGATCTAAAAAACCACCATAAGTTTTCCAACAAAAAAAACGTAATACTTTCACGCATCTCTATTAATGGAAGATCATTGTATTTTTCAAAGAAAAAATAAACCACGGCATATTTCAGAAAAATAAGTCAAGCATTAGACGCAGCCCAATCTTAACATAAAGGGTTCAGACAGATACGTACAACAAAAATTAACAAAAGAGAGGTAACCCCTAATTTATGAAAATAAAATAGCAATTACTTCAGGATTTCATCGATCAAATGAAGGAACTTTTGAGTCCAGAACAAAACATCCTAATCAAAAAGAATCCGTCGCACAGATAAACGCATTAGGGCAAAATAGAATTAGGGTAAAAGTGAATACTCGCAAACGAGGGAAGACCGGAGAGCGGTGATTGGTTGAGAAGAGATCACAGTAGCGAACCGCCTCCCCTCACGTCTTAGAGCTGCCATGGCCATTTCTTCCTAAAGCGAGATCGGAACTGGAAGTTGAGGAAAAAGAAAAGGTAAGGCCGACGAAAGGGTTTCTTCTTCTTTTCAATAGCAGCGAACTCAAACGCTTCTCACTCAGTTTTAGAGAGTTTTTCGCATCTAGCGGAGGCGAGGTCAATATTTACAGTTTTTGTAAATTTATCATACCCATGCATCTTTACCCAAAATACCCCCATTAAAATCTAATTTCCCCAAAATACCCCCATTAAAGTTTCAGAAATATGACACAATCATTAACAAAATTATACGGATGACCTTCTTGTATTTATGGAGCGATGTCCTGTATTTTGGAGATTTGTATTCCATTGGACCATTTTCTTTTCTTTTCTTTTCTTTCTTTTCTTTTTTTAATTCTCAATTTTTACAAAATTTCTGAGTTTTTGGTAGAGAATTTTTAGTGCTCAATTATTTAACATTGGAGTCTTAAAACTATGGCCAAAGTTCTTTAATTCTTTTTAATTTTTTATTTTAGATATATAAATTATTAAATTTTGATATTGTTGTTAAGGTATTTTTACAATTAATCCTAAAAAAAAATTAAAATATTTACTTAAAAACGAGAGAAACTGATCCTTTAATATTTATACTCACATGTAATTGTATATAACACTAATAAAATTTAGATTACCAATTTAGCCACAAAACTTAGAAGATAAAATTTATATTTACATCAAATAAATAAATAATGTTTAAAAATTTAAAAAATTTTAAACACCTAAATATTGAGGGGGTGTTACGCTTCTCTTTCGAAATAAAATTCATGGAAAGTTTGTCTTGAAGATTATGAATAAGAAAGGGGGTGTTACGCTTCTCTTTCGAAATAAAATTCTCCGTTGATTCATCCAGAGGGTGCAAGTGTTCTTAGGAATGACCAGCAACAATATGGAAATAAAAAACCTATATTTGGAGTGTTGTGCGGTGAAACCTTAAACCTATATTTGGAGTGTTGTGCGGTGAAACCTTAAACCTATATTTGGAGTGTTGTGCGGTGAAACCTTAATATTAAGTCTTATATTTGAAATTAAAAAAGAAAAAAAAAACGGAAAATCTAAATTTCTTACCTGTGAAATAGTAATAATATCAAGTAAATGGTAGGCACAAAATAGAGGAGGGTAGTAAAAAAGAAAATTGCAGCAATGGGGGGCAAGCAACAGCAAGCGACTTCCATTAATAACTCATGCGGCCATGTTTCGAGAGTCCAATATATTGATTACTTGCATTGACCCAAACGTAGTTTAGGATTTGGAACTCAAAATCACCCCAAAGCAAACCAAGGTGCCAAATCGCCCTTCAAAAACTTAGAAACCAAAGTTGTTAAACTTCTGAATCAACCTACTAATAATCATAACCTCCGACCAAAGATAGAACTGTAAACAGAAGCTAAACTACACGTTAAATTCGGAGTAAAACCTTCACAAAGTTGTTTTCACTACACATGAAGTTTGCCAAAGAACCTCCACTTTCAGTGGTCGGTGAATATGAGTACGGCACAGTTGTTGGTCTTCAACAGAAGAACTAACACAGGGTAAGTTCAATTCAAACTGTTTCTATATACCAAAAAGAAGAAGAAAAAAACTATGTTATAGCCTTGAACTGTAATATTGACATGCTAAGTCAAACAAGTGTAGATATCTACGATATACTGGAAAAGCAAACCTTGAAGGGCTTAAACATCCAAGTTGCTTCATTCACCTCAGAACTAACGGCGCTCCTTTTTAATCCCTGCATTAAAGATTTGGAGATACTTGTCTGCAACTCTCCTGGGAACATCTTGGTCAGTTAAGCCAGTTCTGTTTTGAGAGCCATCAATACTAAATGTTGGCGCCATTCTCGAGCAATGCTCCGTTTCCAAGCATTTTCTGTCACTTTCTTCCTCTTTAATAACTGGTATAGGTTCAATCTTTACTTTTGACTGGGAAAGAGAATACGAGCCAGTGGCTGCGATTGGAGCAGGTTCCTATCATATGGTTAGGACAATGACAAAATGAGAGGGATCAGACAAGATTTTAGCATCATCATAAACAAACTAAAGAAATGCTTGGTTCTCCACCTCCTTTTTTTTATATGAACGGCAACGAGCAAATGAAAACCAGGAGGGAAAGGCTTGGTTCGGTAGCTAGGATGAGATATTTCTACCTGATCTTTTATTTGAGCAGTCGTAGTTAATGCATTGACATCGGACTCCCTGGATTTTTGTGACCCAAATTCTAATAGTAATCGCTGAATGGTAGAGTCTACATCCTTTGCAGTTGGAGACTTTCCAGTAGTGTTTCCACCCGTTATGTCATTTACCCTTTTAACAGCATTGTCTTCATCGTGCTTTCCATGTCCTTTAGGCGTGAATTCCAGCAGGGGAACTTTGGACTCACTTTCTACAGAAGAAACTGCAGAACCATATTCTAACATAGGAACAAGAGACTGGTGTTTCTTTATAGCACGGAAGACTCCGAAAAGGAGGCATTTAGCACTTAGCATATTAAGATCTGCAGAAAGAGTTGCACATATGTTATAAAGCGTGGTTAAAGTTTATGTCTAACTACTACGAGCAGTACGAGAATACATGCTCAAATGGAGCTTAATTTGGACTTCATCATTTGTCAACTGAACAGACAAGTTTTTAAAGCTTAACGTAAAGATAAACGTATTAGTATATTCACCACTAGGAGGAGGCCACTATATGCAAAATACAGTTATGACCACTAGAACATATAAATAGGAAGAACAGTATCGACATTCAAACCAACGTGAGACTTAAGTATTACACTAAAGAATGCCCAAATAATGAATGTAAGAGCTTTACGCTGTGAGTGGAGATCCAGCTGTCTATAAGTAAATACGACCAACTCAGCACCGTCAATAAGACTTCTTATCAATAGATCTTCTCTCTCCATAAGTTCAAACAGGTAAGAGCTGTTCTTTCTGGACCTACGCTTTAATCAACATTTGCTTTACACGGCTATACAACAACAAAAATTGTAACCATTCAATCCGAAATCATAACAGACCTTTCAATATTGTCGGCGGGAAAGAAGTACAAAGCAATGTCAGCAAGATCCGGACATTCATCGTGAAACAGCTCATCCCAAATATCAGAACGACTAAGAAGCTTCACTTGAAGAATGGGAGGAATCTTCCTCGACAATTCATAAGCTCTACCATGTACTACACATGGAGGCTTTGCCAGGAATCCATCATAAAATTCACCGCCCATACGTGCATCAATAAATTGGAAGCCTCCCCTAAAGAATAGAAATTTCTGGCAGTAGTAAATAATTTTAATTCTCAGCGAATCAAATATATAATGTCAGAAATGTTGCAACAATGGATATGAAGTACTCAACCATCAACAGTCACTGCCGAAGCACCATGTACTAAACTTTAAGAACTCCATAAAAAAGGACAATTTTGAGAAAATGAGATGCGATCCACTAAATATACACGCAAGAACTGGAAGCATAGATTACATAGAAAAAGAATTGCTCAGAGCTTCACTTATCATAAAAAAAACACTAAATTGTTAGATCATAAAAACCTATTCTACAAAAGTTAAATCTGCTTTCGGTAAATATATACCCAACCCCAAAAGAAAGAAAGAAAGAAAGAAGAAAAATGGTCTTCTTCTGATCTTAAAAGAATGTTCGATGAGAAGGCAAATTTTCGTGTGAACTCATACAACTATTCATCGTCCATTTTCATCCAATACGATATGCAGCGAGAAGCACAATATAACATATGCAGTTGGCATATACTTAGAAATCACAACAACAGCAGTGGCACATGATATTTAACAAATAAGAAACTTAACTGACCAACTTATTCGAGCCAAGTAGGTAAAACACTGCCATAAATCATCCAATAAAATTCTGCAAGGAATTGGAGAAAGCATAATTTTTATAAAAAATAGATTAATTAAATACAAAATTACTACATTTTCAATTGTATGCATCTCTTAAGTTTTTTAACAGGGTTTATCGATTCTAAAAATGGAAAAAAAGAAGCGAACCATAGAGGAAGGGACTCACTTCCAAGAGGCGTGTAATGATGGGAGACAGTCACGGTAAGCATGTATTTCCTGTGTCATCAAAGCATACTTGATTTGTTTTTGCGTATCCTCCAACTTAATGAGAGGTGAAGGAACTTCTTTTCCTTTGTTGCCACGGTATGCATGTATTTCCTGGGTCAATGAAGCATTCTTCCTTTGTTTTTGCATATCCTCTAACTTAGTGGAAGGTGAAGGAACTTCTTTTCCTGTGTTGTAATTAATATTGGCAATAAAAATAAAGAAACAATAACATACAACTAGAGATGGAAACCAAAACTAAGGGAAAGAGCTATATTGATTGGCTTGGGATTGGATACCATAATAATAACACAATTTAAGAGTTTCATTAAGATTGCAAAGCTCTTCTCTCTTACCTGTTTTTGTGACAGGTAAACCATGCCTTGACACGGAAGAAGCTTTAGCAGGTATATCTGTAACCTTCACCTTCGCCTTTTTTAATGTTTGTACTGGATCTACTGGCATTGAAGGTAAACAAGTAGGTAATGCTTGTTTCTTCATACCACATATCGTTGGAGGCACCGTAGCAGAACTTCGTTCTGAAAGAGAAGAACAAAAACGCAAATTAAACATTCAACAAAACATAAGTCAGAAAATGAATAAAAAGAATAAATGCATGTGTCTAAAAGGACATGACAGACATGATTTCTGGCATTATAAGTTTTCATTTTGCACCTCAAAGGTTGCTAACTTTGGTTCACAAAAATAGCTCCATACACTTCTAGAGATTCATAACTGAAAAATACTATGTGACCTAGAGCATCATCACTAAATAATTTAGTTTTTCTAGTGAGAAACTAAGCTTTCAGAACATAAATTATTAGACCTTGCATACCAAGGTCTAATAAGATCATTGGTTAATAAGAAGCACAGACTTCGTCTAACTTAGAAGTGTTGGGCATATCCTTCGAAGATATGACTTCACGTGCACAGTGTGGAGTTATATTTTGGAGGCATTTGACTTTCAGTTAAACCGTTATAGTGACCCAGAATAAGATCCTTGAGGAGTTACTTCTCCGTCCATCTTTTAGGAGAAGGGCCATAAAAAATAAAAAATAAAAATACTTGTTGAGCATATATGGAACAACTATTAAAACAATAAATATATGTTCAACATTAGTTGTACAAAATAAATATGGATCCAATGTTTGGTAGGAAAGTATAAAACATTTGTTTAAGCATAATAAATAGGCACAAACGATAATATTGAAAAATAATAACATGTGTCCATATACATGCTTCGTAGATGGACACACATAAAGTAACAAATGCAAGAAAGGATAAGAACGGACTCAAGAACCTTGAGATTCTTTTGATGCTTGGAAATGTGGTCGGGGGATAGAGCTTTCAAAGAATTTTCTGGACTTAAATGTTCTTTGGGGTCCAAAAGCTGCGTTCAATTTTGAAGGTCCCTTCATCCCTCCCGATGATAGCTTCCTTACTTCTTCAGTAGGTAAGAACTTCACTTTGCCAGTTTTAGCATGTCTTAGCATTTTAGGTTGAACCAGAGATCCTGAATCATCAGGACTTTTGGCCTCGTCTAATGTACAATTACCACAAAGCCAGGATTTGGGGACATCGCGACTTTTATTGGGCATACAATAACTGAAAACAGAGAGATCGCAGCATATAATTATATAAGGGTAACAAAAAGGGAATGCTTCTTAGGACATCGAATGGATATAACTATAAAGGACACTCGAATCAACCATATGAAATCGAAGGATCAAAGCACTAAATGGAACTAAAGGGATTAATATCACCAACGTTACAACTTCTTAACAAATTTTAGAAGCTCAAGCCTAAAGTTCAAGCAGTCAATTTTTCATCAGCTTTGTTAATCAGTCCAACTAGCTGAGATTTAAAGCTAACACGATAAGAAGACAACATATTCCCATCAAGTAGAGATCTTAGGAGTTTGTTTCTCCTCGGTATATCCCTAAAATCAACAAAATATGCAACACATTCATGATTCAACTATCTACAGACTACAATACGAAAATCAAGGAAAGAAAATGTGTTGAGGATTGTTGGAGTTTCACGTTGGCTAATTAAGGGAAAGATCATGGATATATATGTGAGGAACGCTATCTCCATTCGTATGAAGCATTTGGTTTCAAAAGTAAAGTCATGAGTTTATGCTCAAAGTGGACAATATCATATAAATGTAGAAAGATCATGGATATATACGTGAGGAACGCTATCTCCATTGATGTGAGGCATTTGGTTTCAAAATTAAAACCATGAGAGTTAATACTCAAGTGGACAATATCATATCAATGCGGAGGGTTGTTGTTCTTAATATGGTATAAGAGTCATGTCCTTATCTTAACTTAGTCATGTCAATAGAACCCTCAAGTGTCGAACAAAAGAGTTGTGAGCCTCGAAGATGTAGCCATAGTGACTCGGGTGTCAAACAAATGGTGTATTTTGTTTGAGAGCTCCAGAGAAAGAGTCAAGCCTCAATAATTAAGGGTAGGTTGTTTGAGGCCTCCAGAGAAAGAGACATTTAGGTGGTCGAACAAAGGGTGTACTTTGTTCAAGGGCTCCAAAGAAGGAGTCGATCCTCAATGAACTTGAACGATAACAGAGGAAGAGATAACCATACAGATGTTCACGAACAACTTTGCACTTGGAGCAGGTTATAATCAGCTCTGCATAACCAACATCACCACAAACATAACAGAAGTGATCCTGAAAATCGAAGTAGAAACGCAAGAATCAACATAAAAGTGGTTGAAAGCAAGTCTAGAATGCAGGTGGAGAGTACTAGAGAAGTAGAAGCACTAAACACGTACAAATTGTTCTCAATATGGAAATGGTTCTTTACTAAAACAAATCTGATAGGAAAAGTGCCAAGCAGCCAGCCAACCTACGATTCTCATGAAATGGGAAGGTGAATTTAATGCAAAATGATAGATACACATGTGACAGACAGAAAAATAGAAAAATGGGAAACAAAGATCTTTGTGTTTGCTAATTTTTCTATCACGTTGACATATGACAAACTGGAAATCAAAAGTTGGATTCTTGGATTGGGTATCGATTATGTTACGACTAAAGACTTGGTCAGGGTGATTTTGAAATGATTAAAAATCACTTCTATCATATTCAAAATCAGTCTTAAACAAGCTTTTAATCATTCAAACTTAATTTAATGTTTGATTTTACACTTTCCAACACAATTTTCATGAATTAAAATTCATTTTTAAAGATTAAGAGCATATTTTAAGGGATTTTGAACATGAAAAAAGTGATCTAAATTATTTAAAATCACTCAAACGTGAACGAACTCTTTAATTTGTAATACTACATTAAAATATGCAAACGTATATGAAGTATCGTGAAAATTAACGCATACAAACGACAACGAAGAGAGTCAAAACCTAAAACAAATCGGTTCCAATATTCCACCGCAAAACACACTAGACTGAACATAAAGAGTCCAAACACAGCAGCTCAAGACAAACAATATAATATTCACGCAAACTCAGATTCTGACAACAAGAACAAGCAGGCAAACTCCTAGTTTAAGAACATTATTTCAATCCAACAAAGTCTCGTCTTCTCAAGATGTCATACAGATACGCAGTCTACGCACATTTTATCAAAAAGAGAAAGCGAAGTACAAACAGACTAGGCGATGTGCAGAAACCCAAACAACGCAACATAACGTACCGCCATTAACAGACACGGAAGCCCACATTCAACACCACAATAAATTATCGCCCGTATTCACTGCACATTCAACGTCAGATAAGGGCCAGAGAACAAAATACGAAGATGAGAATAAACGAAATAAATGAACTAACTGCCTGTATCAGCAACGCCATTAAAATGGCATTCTTACGTAAGAAAACCAAACGATCATAGAAATCAATAGTTTAACGAGGAGCGCCATAGGGAAGCGGAAACAGAGGCATGAGATGAAGAACAAAAACAAAACAAGAAAGGCAAAGCAAAGAGATATTTACTGTGTAAATGGATGAACAGAGTTGCAGTATCAATAGCTCGCACGCTGCATTGATGATTTGTTGGAGAATAAGCAGTGGAAGGAGAAGAAATGCGTTTGAAACAGAACTGACCGCAGATGAAAACTTGGGGAGGGAAACAATATAAATAAACTCCAAACAAAGTATGAACAATGTGATACGTCGGCGCCATTTTTTCGTGAGAGGCCTGTCGTGCTCCAGACGTGCCTCCATACAGGGGCCCACGTTTAATAAAAATAGGGTTAAAAATACTTTTTTGGTTGCTTCTTTTATTTTAAATTTAAAAAATATATATATCATTTTAGGACTTATTTCTGTTTCATTAAACACTCCAATCTCTAAATTTAGTTAGGATATTTTCTATAAGTTTATTTGAAATATTCTTTAACTTTTACATAAATAATTATTCTCCATCAATTTTCCCATAAATGTTTAGAAAATTTGTTCACCTTTTTGTATTTGTGGCATGAAAAAAAATATATTATTATTATTATTTATTCAATTTTGATAGAAAATTATGGATTAATTTTGAAATTAATAATTAAATTTAATACGAGTATACAAATTGAGGTGAATTTTTCTTTTAACCAATTTATTCTTTTTTTTTAATTGAACCGGCCAAACAACTCAACTTAACCCAATATTCTGTATATATATATTATGATAAAATTTGATATATTTGGAAAATTTAAATGTAAATCATTAAAAAAACAGAAAAAATAAAATAATAAAACATGTCTTTGATCAGAAGCCTGCCAGTAAAAGAAATTTTTATTTAATTACACGATTAAGATTGGCATTATTTAAGAAAAATAAATTATATATAATAGCTGTCAATTTTTAAGTATATTTTAATAATTCAACCGTGTGAAATTTCAATTTTACCCTTGAATTTTATTTTTGTTCAAAATAATCCTTGTGTCGATTTTTTAGTTAATACAAAGATAAAAGAGTAATGTGATGATATAATTGTACATGTTTCAACTATGAAATTTCATTTATGTTTTTAAATTTCATTTAAATTCACATTCTTTAAAATTATTTAAGAACAAATTGTTTCAAATATTTAAATGTTGAGTGAATAACATTATTTTAAATGTTGAGTGATATTATATAATCAATTAATGAAAATCAACATAATTAAAATAAATAATAGAGAAACGGAGAAATTTAAGACAATCAATCCAAAACCTTATCAGAAGGGTGTTTAAATGATAATTAATTTAACTACTAACCATAAATATTATAACTCTTTGAGAAGCTGGCTAATTAATTAAGTACTTTGATTAATTAGTCCCCCGACAGATTAGCATGGAGCTACATACGACGACGTATGAGAGGGAGAATATTACGTGACGTTGGAGCCGGAAATCGCCGTGGCTCTCATCGGTGGTGATGCCGGCTCCAGTGCTGGCGCCCCCAAAAACTCCAGTGGGAGATGCAGTATTGGGAAGGGAATTGGTAGTTGTGAGGGTCGATGGTGGTGGCCTTGTGACAGGCGATGTCATTCCCGGTACTGTTAGTGGAGTTACTCCGCTGCCGCCATTACTGCCACCGCTAACGCCACTCGAACAACAATAGTCACCATTAATACCTAATACGTTCATCAAAAGAAAATCAAGAACAATTTTGGGTTGGGTTCGGGTTGTGAAACAATGGAGCGCCGAACAGAGAAGAGCGAAGAAGTTTGACGAGAAATATAGAACAGAGAAGTCCAACGAAAAACACAGAGCGGAGAAGTTTAACGAAAGTGAAACAGAGCACTGGGCGAAGAGACCGTTGACAACGACATCCAGCGAGAAACACATAAACAAGGTCGAACGGAGAAATAAAAAGTGAGGAGAGAGTCTAACGGAGAAATAAAGAGGGGAGCGATGTCGAAATTCGACGACGCTCAAAGACGATATGAGAACTTAGAAATTTAACGATGACACAAAGAAAGTCGAGAGGAGTCAAACGACGAAGACAAACGCTGTGATGTGAGACTGTGAGTGCGAGAGTCGAGACTTTATTTCACTCACTCAGTTACCCTCAAGGTCGAAGACAAATCGCTGTATGAGGTTGCGAGACAAAGTCTCAGACTCGGGGTCAAATAACGGAGAGATAGAGAGAGAGAGTCAAATAGACGGTCTGCATACGTGCTAGGGGCAGGAGATGCATACGATGACCACTAGGCTTGAGTTATTGGATTAGCGGGTTAGATGTACCTTATAGAATGTCGAGGATTTAAGATATCAAATTTATTATTTTACCCAAAAAAAAAAAAAAAAAAAACACAACAAATTTTATTTTCCACATTAGTCTAAGGTTAAAAAAATAAAATTTAAAACTTAAAATAAAAAAACACGTGCATACAAAATTTCTAGCGAAGTATAAGCCAATTTGTGTTCACTTTTGTTGTGCATGCTGGCATCAGTCGACATGTCGTTTGTATTATCAACAGGCCGTCCCAAATTCCAGCCCATATATGGTAGGAGAAATCGTTATAAAGTAACCGACGTGTCGTCGAGTGATAGTCGACAAGTCGGCCGAGTCATAACAGTGATCTACCCGCCACTGCGAGAGAAGCTTTGTACACAAGCCAGAAGCTCCTGCCGTCGCTAGCTCCTGCCGTCGCTAGCTCCTGACTTTCTATCTTCGATTCAGTGTTTGGTTATGAAGCAGTGAAAATGTTGTTTCAGATTCCCCGATTGACCAGTTCCCTCAGGGAGCCATTCGATGTCGACCAGGCGTATCTCCATCGCAAGCTCCTTCTTCAGAATCACAAACCGACCCAGTATTATCTCTCCCAATACAATTTTTTTTTTCATTTCTCGTAATTTTTCTGTTTGTGAATTCAGCTTTAAGACTTTTAGAGTCTTAGCTGTTCTTGGGTTGAATTAAAATGTTATTAAAGCAAAGAAAGCGGACTCTATAGTGGATTGGGCTAATGAATGATTTGCGAATACTTAGCTGCTTAATTTCTTATATCCTTTGTCCACTCCATCAATCTGTGCATTACCCCAATTCGATTTTTCTATCGTTTTCACGTATGCTCTGTCTGTGAATTTCAGCTGTAGGAGTGTCAGAGTCTTGACTGTTTTTGCATGGAAGTAAAATACAAAGTAAAGCTAGGAA